CCTCCTCCCTCCTCCCTCCTCCCTCCTCCGTCTTTCCTCCTCCTCCTCCTCCTCCCCTCCTCCCCTTCCTCCTCCTCCTCCTCCTCCTCCTCCTCCTCCTCCTCCTCCTCCTCCTCCTCCTCCTCCTCCTCCTCCCAGTACCAATGCTGCTCAATACTCTCTGGGGGAGCCTGCTGGAGACGCACCGGACGCCACTAAGGGTGTGGGTTGCCACACCCGACGAGCACCCGAGCTGAGCTGAGCCCCCAGTAGAATCAGCAGCGGAGCGTCAGTGGCAAGGGGCCAGCAGGTGTCATGGCCTGTAGGACACTGCCCCTCGGCAATGCCGGCGGTCCTGCTCGCATTCCACGCCTGCACACCTGAGGTACCGACCTCCAGGACACAGTCCAGCGGCAACGCTGGCGGTCCTTCCACCATCCACAACTGCGCGCAAGAGGCACTCACATTCAAATCACAACCTGGTGACTAGGTAGGCGGGCCTGAAATATACCCCATTATCGAGGCATCGACCTCCAGATGACAGACCGGCGGCAATACCGGCGATCCTGCGCAATCTCTCCACGCTCGCACATCTGAGGTACTGACCTCCATCCTGCTTCCATTCCACACCTGCACACCGACCTCCAGGACACAGCCCAGCGGCAACGCTGGCAGTCCTCTACCCTCCACACGAGCACTCATATTCTAGGCTGGCGGCCCTGAACATACAACATATACCCCATTCACGAGGCATCGAACTCCAGGACACAAACCGGTGGCAAGCCGGCGGCCCTGTGCACTCTATGACAGTGCGCGCGTTCCCACCATCTACCATCCGATGCCCTCTACCCCTACGTCCTCCTCTGAGTTCCTGAGGCTTCCTGAGAAGGCCTGCATAGGCCTGCCAGCCCGCCAGGGGGCGCCTGTTGTACAGGCCCATCAGGGGCTGCGTGATAGGGCCCAGCCTGGGCCAAAATGCTTGAGGACCTCTGGAGAGCCTTCTGCAGGTCCGCCGCCCGCCGCCGTTTGGCTCTGCGGGCCCTGCAAGGCCCTTGACCGATTTACGACTGCGCCCGCCGGGCGCGATCGTTCGTGTGGCGCGCAGCGCGGCGCCAAGACAAGCATTCGACTCGCTTTGCGACTCCGCCACTCTATACACACTCAAACGCCTGAGGAACTGACTTCCAGGACACAGCTGGGCGGAAATGCCAGCGGTCCTGCCTCCGCTTGCCCAGAAGAGCTACGGCCCCACTGCACCGCCTTTGAGCTTCCACGAGGCTCGTTGGTGAGGCGGGAGCTGGGATGCCCACAGCTGTCGATGGCATCCGTATCGTTCGCAACTTCATATAAAAAGTTTAGCGCCCCTGCCTGCTGTTAGGCCCCTCACTCGTCCTTCTCTGTCCCCCTGCCCCTGCCTGCTGCTGGCCCCTCAACGGTCCTTCTGTCCCCCCTCCCTTTCCCAGTCGTCTGTGCGCTCCTCACATCGAATGTGTGACATCTGGTGATGCTTCGTGGCAACACTATCTATAGTCGTTCGACGATGCACCACAGAGCTAGCACACCAGAGGAGTTAGCAACCCAGGGCGCGCCGCACACTAGAGGATTTACTAATCCAGGGCGCGCCGCACATCAGAGGATTTGGATCCGTCGGGCCACCGTGCCCTCCAGGGTGGTGACACCAGGGAACCGCCGCGCACTAACGGTTAAGGCGCCCCAAAGCTATATTACATCAAGTCCTGGTCCTCCTCCTCCTCCTCTTCTCCTCCTCCTCCTCCTCCTCCTCCTCCTCCTCCTCCTCCTCCCTCCTACCCAGTGGCCTCCTCGTCCTGCCAAGCCTGGCCAGCACGCGGGCCGGCCGAACTAGAGGGCGACGACGACGACCACGGCCACGACGCCGACCACGACGACCACGACGACCACGACGACCATGACGACGAGGATTCCAGGCCGGCGGACCCCGCCTGGTGCTGAGCCGCACCAGCTTCCCGAGCTGAGCCCCTTCGCGGTGACGAGGCGGGCACCCGTCGGCCCCCCCCCCCCGAAAGGCCCCCCACGAGGGCGGGTCGGGGCCACCATCGGAGCGGGTCGGCGCGGGTCGAGCTCCCCCTCGGGGCGACAGAGGGACCCAACCTCACAGGCGGGTCGGCTCGAGCGGGCGGGACATTAAAGTATGGAGTAGAGCATGCTGCATCGTCCAGCTGGCACGCGAGCGAGAGCCATAACGGCCGGGCCTGGTCGAACGGGCCAGGCCCTCAAGGGCAGGTCGGGTCGGGCGGGACGTCAAAATATGGAGCAAAGTGTACTGCATCGTCCGGCTGGCACTCGAGAGCCCCAACGGCCGGGCCTGGTCGAGCGGACTGGGCCCTCACTGGCGGGACGGGTCGGGCGGGCAGGACGTCAAAATAACTATGGAGTAAAGGGTACTGCATCGTCCAGCTGGCACGCGAGAGCCCCAACGCCCAGGCCTCGTCGAGCGGACTGGGCCCTCACGGGCGGGTCGTGTCGGGCGGGCGGGACATTAAAGTGTGTGCGATGTGTTTGATGTGATCCTGTGGGGGTCGACTCACTGGTCGAACTGGTTGGCTGCGTGCGGTGCAACTACGGCCCCGCCATTAATCTACACTGGGTCAGCTTGTGCAGCAGACATCTGGAGTGTCACAATATGGCGCCGGTTGCCCTGTCAGAGGCGTTCCTGCGACGTTTCCTTCACTCACTGTGCGATGACGGGTTG